CTCTTCCACTCCATTGTCAGGAAAAGAGGAGACCCTTTGGACGTGGCCACCTTCCCATTTGCTGAATGCAGAGGAGGAGAGAAGGGTGGCCCACCCAAAGCCCCCCAAGGAGGAAGGAAGCAAGGAGATGCCCCAAATCCACCACTCTCACCTTCTTGGCAGCCAGGGTCGGATCCTGCTTCAGCAGTTGCCTGAGAGTAGCCACATGGCCACTGGCCGCTCCTTGCAGCCACTCCTTTTCCAGAGGCTCCAGCTACAAAGAGAGAGGCGTTAGGGCCCTGAAAGGGCCAAAGCGGACCCCCAGCAGATGCCCTCCTTCCTTCCCTCACCCCAATTTCCATCCCCACAGCTCCACCGTCCCTCTGCGTCACGCAGCAAAGCCTCAAACCACCCAGAGAGACATGGCAGCCTTTGCACCATGAAGGCCCCTGGCCACTCTCGGCCCTCTGCCAGGGGCCTTCACGGTCTCTGCCCCGTATGCCCCCCACCCACTCCTTGAGACCCCTGGAGCCCCCTTGCAAGGCCCACCACACTCACCGCCACCGGACTAGGGCCCAGGCTTCCACCTCCGTCGTCTGAGGCATCTCGGTCCGACTCGGGCTGTGAAAAGAGAAATTGGATGGAAAGGGAGAAAGGGGCACGCTTGCCCCAATGTAGCCCCCCAAACCATGAGCCAGGAAGGATGGACCCACCAGCTAACCCCCTCCCCTGGATCAGGACCTCTTGCCCCCTTGGTCCAAGCACCGAGGAGGAACCCCTTCCCCTTCTTATCTGTGACAATCCTATTAACACCAGAAAAAAGCCCATGCGGCCGGAGGGATGGAGAAGGGATGATCCAGAACATCTGGGCAGCTGCCAGCCAACAATGCCCAGTGCCACCCTTTCCTCCACCACTCTCCCTCCATCCTCTGCAAATATGGAAGGGATTCCCATTCCAGATGGGGAGGATGGACCGGTTGGCAGCCGGACATCTGCCCAGGGTCACCTTGGCTCTCCCACCTCCCCTTTTGCAAAAGGAGGACTGCGATGGAGGGACCCCAGGACAGATGGCCGTCCCTGGCACAAGGCCTCTTCCCCGACCTCCTGAGATCCTCCTCTGGACAAAAAACCAGAGGCTCCTTCTGAAGAAGCCCAGATTGGGAAGGGACCCCAGGGGTCATCCAGAACAACCCCCTGCCATGCAGGACCCCACAGCTAAAGCCGCGCTTTTATATTTTAAAAACTTATGTTTTCAACTTATGTTTTAAACTGCTTTATGGATATGTTTTTTAAATATACATGGTGACTCTCCCTTATCCAGAATTCAGAAATCCAAAATATTCTAAAATCCAAAATTGTCCACAAATTTTAGGGTGGCTGAGACGGTGACACCTTTGCTTCCTGATGGTTCCATGTACATAAACTTTGTTCCATACACAAAATTATTAAAAGTATTCTGTATAAAGTTACCTACAGGCTATATGTACTGTATAAGGTTTATATATACAAAACATATATTAATTTCCTGTTTAGAAGGAAATTGGGTCCCATCTCCAAGATATTACATGATGTATATGCAAATATTCCAAAATCTGAAAAACTCCAAAATCCAACACACTTCTGGTCCCACACATTTCAGATCAGAGAGACTCAGCCTGTAATTGTTTCTTTGTTTTCTAATGTCTGTATAATAAGTGTTTAGCTGACCTTTGTTTTAAATCAGTGGTTCCAAAACTTTGGTCCTCCAGATGTCTTGGACTTCAAGTCCCAGAATTCCTGACTGCTGGCCAAACTGGCTGGGGCTTCTGGGAGCTGAAGTCCAAAAGACCTGGAGGACCAAAGTTTGGGAACCACTGTTTTAAACTGCTGTAAGCTGCCTAGGATCCCATCAGGAGAAAGGAGGGATGGTAGTCTATCTATCTATCTATCTATCTATCTATCTATCTATCTATCTATCTATCTCTATGCATACATCTCTGGCACGGCTAGCCATCTTAAGCTCTCTTTAAAAACCTCGAAGGAAGGAGAGTTCATCCCCCTCCAAAGCAGCCTGTTGAACAGCCCTTCCCACCAGGAAATTCTTTGCAAATTTTAGGAATTGCAGGCAAGTTTAGAGAGGACTTCCAGGAGGTTGAATTGGGGGCTGTTCCACAAATTCTCCAGGCCAAGGACCCAGCAGAGACTCATTCCTTTGCATCAGAGCCGATGGTTATTGCCTGACTAAAGGCCACAAGACCGGACGCTTGGACGCTGGCTCTGTGACTCAGATGGCTTGAAGACAGAAAAGTTGTTGGGTGTGTTGGTTTTTTTTTGCAGCCGCAAAGGGACAGAGAACACCCGCCCTTCCCACCCTTTTATTTCAAATTGAGGGGATTGTTCCAAAATTGTGCAGAAGGAGAACTTCCTTGTGCAAAGAGGGTCAAAGACCCTTCCCACATTCTCTACAGAACAAACAAGTACAAATCTGTTTTGCATTCTTACTTTTTAAAGCAGCATTTCTGCAGAAAAGAGACAAGCCCACTCCCGGTACATTGCCAGGAAGAGATTTTGGAAATGACCAGCTCCAAGAGAAGGTCCTGGGCATTTTTTGATAATAAGCTGATTTTTATCCAAGGCCAATCGCTTTTTCCATCTTTCCTCTGCAGTTTCCGGCATTTGCAAAACAAGGCATCGTTTTGAGACTAACAGTGTATATATGAAAAGGGAAGAGTTTAGATGACAAAAAGCCTGGCCCTTGGGATACACATTTCCCCCCATTTTAAAAAATAATAATTTGCCACCAATTTTCTTCCAAAGTCCCCTGGGGAGCGTGGCAGAAAAAGCTGGACATGTCTGTGACCCTGCCATGGGTCATTTTACTGACTTTTCTGCAGGGATGGAAATAATATTTTAAAAATACTGCCTATTATTAGTAGGCAACAATGTATATATATTACTGAGATGGTGGCAAAGTTTGCTCTAACTGCAAGTAAGTTACGAGTTAGATATCAAAATCATTAGCTAATAATTTTATTGCGCTGGTTTATTAGAACAATGTTTTAAACTTGTTACATGCTTATTATACTCTTGCTAGTTTTTTTTTTACCGTCTCTATTTTGGATTTGGTGCCAAATTTTAAATGTGATTTTGCATCATCATCATCATCATCATTTATATTTACACACCAAAGGGCATATTATTTATTATTATTATTTATACACCAAAGGGCGGAACATCAAACATATATAATAAAAAAATGGATGATAAAATGCAACACTATAAAATGTAAAATAATATGCTAATATACTAAAACAAATTCCTTATCAGTCACTACATGGAATATAGTGTATGGAACTGGGACAATGGCTTATAGCTTTTAGCAATAAAGTTCACTTCACTTTAAAAAATGGTGAAACATGCATTCCTTAAGTGACGGGAAGTCCTGAAGAGGAAAAACATGGACTGATAAGAATCTTGCCAGTCCATTGTGTGCAAAAATTTGCAGGGTTTTTTGTGTGTGTGTGTGTGCGTGTGCAGAACATTTTCTGCACACAATACTTCTGTGCAGGAATAGTTTTCTGTGCAGAAAATGCTGTTTCATGTGAAGAAAATGCCGTCATGCAGAAACCACACGTAAATTGTGCACAGTAAAAGACACCAATTACAGCATTTTCTGTGCAAGAAACAACATATCCCACATGGAAAACAATATTTGGTCTCAGCAGTTTGCAGTTTTCAAAGACTTCCTCGCAGTGGAAAGGAAATCACAATGAAATTAGTGAACAATTACATCCCTATTTTTGGGTCACATCCGCTTGGAGAAAAGGCCTCCCGAGGGTATTGAGGGGCATTAGGAAGCAAAAAGGATCTTTAATGATTTTGCATTGGGTCTGCAGCCCTCCAAGCCTCATCCTACCCAACCCTAAAGGACCCAGATGTGCAGAATCCCCAAATTCTCCTCCATAGGGAATTAATTGGATCACGTCCTGCAAGATTTGGGAACCTACATGCCTGTCTCTCTCCTAAACTGAAGTTTTGAAAACCACAAAGCCTTTGAAAATGGAAAACAGCCAAGGGGAGTCTCCCAAAAGACGAAGCAATAATCCACTTATGACACAGTAGTCTTTGCCAGTGTATTACTTCAGACATTAATTAAACTCTCTGTAAAGTCAATTTGCTGAACTCTCTTTATTAAAATGCCAAGGCAGGGATACTGTTGAACATTAAGGGAAGAAAAAGAGCAACCATGGGGAAGTTATGGAAAATTCAAGGAAATTGAAATAGTGAAGGATTTCTCATACTTCGGATCAATCATTGATCGATCTGAATGGAGATTGCACTCAAGAAACCAGAAGGCTAGGAATGGGAAGGGCAGCCATGAAAGAACTAGACGCGATCCTAAAGAGCAAAAATATATAACTGAATACTAAATTAAGGCTTGTCCAAGCCATTTTACATTCCACATCACCATGTACAGATGATAGATGCGAGAGCTGGACAGCAAGGAAAGCAGATAGAAGGAAAAGCAATTAATTTGATTGTGAGTTCCTGCATGGCAGAATTGGGGTTGGACTGGATGGCCCTTGGGGTCTCTTCCAACTCTTCTATGGTTCTATGAACTAATTTGAGATAATGTGGGGCTGGAGAAGAGTGCTGAGGATCCCATGGATGGTCAAGAGGACAAACTAGTGGGTCCTTGCAGAGGTCAAGCCTGAACTCTCCCTGGAAGCCTAGATGGTCAAGCTGAGGCTGTCGTAGTTTGGCCACATCATGAGAAGGCATGAATAAATGGGGGGAAACGCAATAATGCTAGGAAAGGGAGAAGGCAATAGAAAGGGAGGAAGAGCGCATGCCAGATGGATGGACTCAACCAAGGAGGTCATGGGCCTGCATTTGCAGGACCTGAGCAGTGAGGCTGAGGACAGGGTCATTCAAGGGATTGCCATGGGCCAGGATGGCTTTACAGTCAGGCATAGCATAGTGGTTTGAGTGTTGCACTAGGACTCCGGAGACCAGGGTTCGAATCCCAACTTGGCCATGAAACCCACTGGGTGACCTTGGGCAAGTCACGCTCTCTCAGCCTCAGGGGAAGGCGATGGCAAACCTCCTCTGAACAAATGTGGCCAAAAGAACCCCAGGATAGGTTTGCCTTAGGGTCACCATAATGACTTGAAGGCAGACGTGAACAAGAAATGGGTTAACTTTGCAGCGCTGTTCCAAAGAGATAAGAGGACCCAATGCGCGAGAGGGAAGGAGAGTGACCACTTCCTCTGGCCATCTTGGCTGGGCAGTTTTCTCCCGCAAAGTCACTGGCCTCCCTGGGTCCTTTGCTCCCATTTCCCATGTAATAAATAAGTTTTATTTATAGCCCGCCCCTCTGCTAAGCAATGTCTTCTTCTTCTCCTCCATCCATCCATGCATCCAAGCCTCTTTTTCTGAGAAGCCCTCCTTATCTCTGTCCAGAGGTCTGGGGCCCTTGTTCTTGCGGTCAAGAGGAATCCTGGCACATTCCTTGCAGACGCTGCTCTTGGTTCTGAGGGCCTTTTCGGGCATTATATTCTGCTGCCTTGGTCTTGCATTTTTCAAGCTGGGAAGCGGAGAATTAAAGACTCGGCAGCTTTTTAAAACGAAACCGCCAGAACTCTCCAGTAGCTTTGCACAAAGTACCTTGAATGAAGAGTTCTACCAAATTCTTTTGTAAATGATATTTGTTATGCTCTTTACAAAGAATGGAGAGCCCTTCCTTTTTTGAAAGTCGCTTTTAAAGGGCGGAAGCGGGAAGGAAATCCATGTTGCTGGTTTGTCTGCATCCTGTTTGCGTCGGATGCATCTGCACGCATTCAAGTCGCCTGTTGATTTATGGCAACCTCCATGAACAAATCCTTAGAGATGGTTTTGCCAGTCCCTTCCTCTGAAACAGAGCCTCCAGCACCTGGGATTCCCTGGCGGTCTCCCATCCAAGTCCTAACCAGGGCTGATCCTGCTTAGCTTTCACAGTCAGACAGGATTTAGGCCGCTTTACAGTGGATGCTGGGTGTTATTAAAATGTCTGGTGCTCCAAAATCGGTGGCAAGCTCCTTCGGCCTTCTTTATGATGAACTGGCCAGCAGCCCATATGGTGCCAGATCCAATTCCTTCATTTTTCAATTTAATTTAATTAAAATTTGGATTTCTTTGGCCTTTGAGGATGGGGGACCCTCTTTCCTGGGGGGCCAGACTGTCCCATCTCCATGGGACTCTTTGGCCACAAGCAAAGGCTTCTTGCTTTTAAGTGGACCTTGGGAACTGACCGTTCCTGGGGAAATTGACCTGTTTTGGCTGCACTGTCTGCTGTTTTTTAATGCATTGCCTAACAAAGGAGCCCCACCAAAGCAGCTAAGGGCAAAATCCATGGCGGCCCCCAATTTAATCCCTTCCATTAATTCCTGAGGACTATCGCCCACCAGCCTCACCCCCTCCGGACCCCCAAATCCAAAGCGGGGGGGGGATAAGGGAAGGGGTCTGCAGCCCTAGCCAAGGGCCCTGATCCTGCCCTGCAACCCCCGAGGAGAACCTACCGCTGTTCTGCCATTGCAGGCTGTGACTAGGATCTGCGGAGCAGTGGTCAAGGCTGTGTCCGGCACGGGGGTCTCCAGAGCACCGCCGCCACCACCATCGCCAGCTGGACAGCCAGAGGCCATGGCTGGGGGCCCTGATCCGCTGCTGCCCCTTGGACCGAGGGGTCTCCTCCTGAGAAAGAGAAGAACAGGCTTAGCAGAATTGCTCCCCCAAAACACAGAGAAAGAGAAAGGGGAGAAAGTGGGGTACAAATAAATATTTATTATTATTATTATTATTATTATTCTGCACTGACTTCACCAGCTCTTCCTTGCAAGGATTTGCCTTCTGCCCTTCAGATATATATATATTTTTTGGGGGGCAGGGTGAGTTGGGATTCGGCTTAAAAGAATCCCAGATGTTTCAAACCCTGACAGATGTTAACCTCAGCTTTTCAGGGGCCCCAAGGAGGGAGAGCCCCCTTTTTTGCTTTTTTGGCTGCACAGAGGGAGCCAGAAGCTGGAGGGTCAGTTGGTTAAATAGTGGGTCAGCATTGCAAAGTTGGAAGGAAGGAAGGGGCCCCTGATGGTCAGTTGGTGGGACCCCTTGCGGCACATGCAGGAATGCCCTCTCGGCCTCTGCTTTTAGACCCTGATGAAGGAAAGCCCCCGCCTCTGCCGTCCCCCCTTTTCCTGGTCTAGACCAAGGCGGGGGTTGATTAAATTTTGAAATTTTGACATTTTAAATGTTGTGTGTGTGTTTTGTTTGTTTAAAAATATCCTGGGGCCTCTCCTTTTTTCCTCCCACTGAGCCTCCACTCCCCCACATTTTAAAATATATTCTTTATTTTATTGGTCTATTAAAACAAACTTCAGTTCAAAAACCAAAATAGGACACATTAAAATAATCATCCACAATACGCCACTACCATCCAGACATAATAATGTACACTTAAACTAAAATCGACTTCCTTGTCTCTGACTCCTTCTTTCTCCATAAATATTCTATCAAATCCCATAAATTTTGTATACATACATTCTATACATGCCTCCGCTGAAAATCCTTCAACGATGAAAACAGAAACTTTATTCCAGACCCATAATAAATCTGGGACCTTTACATTTCTTTAAATAATTAATGAGTGGTTTTATAAATCTTTTATAAAAGAATCTACGGGTCGCACACTAGCTGAGTTAATTTATCAATTACCATATAATTGTACAAATTAATTAAGTATTCTGCTATCTATCTCTTCATCATTTTAAAGAGACACGGGAATGGCCACATGTTTTTTGGGGGGCAGTGGGGGGGATGTCACCCCAATTTTAGGGTGTCACCTGGCCCCTTGCACTCCTATTGTGTTAGCAGAGGGGCGGGATAGAAGAAATTATTATTATTATTATTATTATTATTATTATTATTGATGCCTCCGGTTCCCTGACTCTGGTGCAGTGAGTCTCTCCCCAAAAGGGCTCCCCAAAAAGGGATGGACGGATGGACAGATGGACGGAGGGGGAACCACCTCCACGGTGGACAAGGCAGCACCCCCAAAATGGAGGACCTTTCAGGGTTAGGGTTAGGGTTAGGGGTTAGGGAGGCCCTAAGTGGCCTCCT